TGATTCGATATGCAAATGCATACTCTACGTATGAACACTTTCTAAAACGAGGTAAATTGTTGACAAACAAGTTGATGAAACAAGAATATCAGCAGTCTCCTTTTAGGAGGCTGGGGGTCAACAAATTAACCACAAATTAAACACCACATTTAACTTTTTTTTTAGATACGGTATCTTAAGATGTCAACTATCATTTGGCAAAGAAAAAATTCATACATTTTAGTTTAAAAATTTGATCATTTTTGTATATCTTTATATGGAGCTCTTCTTTTAAAGGAGATCAAAATAGTCTGAAAATGGCTACCACCCCCAGTCTCTTTAAAGTCATACCAGTAATTATAAACGTAAGTTCCATGGTCACCCTCCTAGCAATGGCGTTGTCACCAAATATATAAACAATTTACCATTGAGTAATCATATAAACTGATTGTGGTTTTTTTTACTTATTGTTAGTCCATTATTTCCAGTTCTACACTGAATTGATGACGGTTTTCTCCATTATTCCACGATCACGGCAATAAACACTCGGCGGGTGTGACCTGTTAGCAGGGGATGCTCACTCCAAGTTGGCAACAAATCCAACCTCTGATGTTTTGGAGGTCCGCGTTTCCTCTGCTCCTGTTGTGTCATGAACATTTGATCTTGAATAGTTCGTTGGCTCCATATGTTACACTTATATATTCATATAAACATGCAATGGCGTGAAGTCACCCTCCTAGATAATCATATAAACGTGCAATGGCGTGAAGTCACCCTCCTAGATAATCATATAAACATGCAATGGCGTGAAGTCACCCTCCTAGATAATCATATAAACATGCAATGGCGTGAAGTCACCCTCCTAGATAATCATATAAACATGCAATGGCGTGAAGTCACCCTCCTAGATAATCATATAAACATGCAATGGCGTGAAGTCACCCTCCTAGATAATCATATAAACATGCAATGGCGTGAAGTCACCCTCCTAGATAATCATATAAACATGCAATGGCGTGAAGTCACCTTCCTAGATAATCATATAAACGTGCAATGGCGTGAAGTCACCCTGCTAGATAATCATATAAACGTGCAATGGCGTGAAGTCACCCTGCTAGATAATCATATAAACATGCAATGGCGTGAAGTCACCCTCCTAGATAATCATATAAACATGCAATGGCGTGAAGTCACCCTCCTAGATAATCATATAAACATGCAATGGCGTGAAGTCACCTTGCTAGATAATCATATAAACGTGCAATGGCGTGAAGTCACCCTCCTAGATAATCATATAAACGTGCAATGGCGTGAAGTCACCCTCCTAGATAATCATATAAACGTGCAATGGCGTGAAGTCACCCTCCTAGATAATCATATAAACATGCAATGGCGTGAAGTCACCCTCCTAGATAATCATATAAACGTGCAATGGCGTGAAGTCACCCTCCTAGATAATCATATAAACGTGCAATGGCGTGAAGTCACCCTCCTAGATAATCATATAAACGTGCAATGGCGTGAAGTCACCCTCCTAGATAATCATATAAACATGCAATGGCGTGAAGTCACCCTCCTAGATAATCATATAAACGTGCAATGGCGTGAAGTCACCCTCCTAGATAATCATATAAACATGCAATGGCGTGAAGTCACCCTCCTAGATAATCATATAAACATGCAATGGCGTGAAGTCACCCTCCTAGATAATCATATAAACATGCAATGGCGTGAAGTCACCCTCCTAGATAATCATATAAACATGCAATGGCGTGAAGTCACCCTCCTAGATAATCATATAAACATGCAATGTCGTGAAGTCACCCTCCTAGATAATCATATAAACATGCAATGGCGTGAAGTCACCCTCCTAGATAATCATATAAACATGCAATGGCGTGAAGTCACCCTACTAGATAATCATATAAACGTGCAATGGCGTGAAGTCACCTTGCTTCAATGATAATCATATAAATGTGCAATGGCGTGAAGTCACCCTCCTAGATAATCATATAAACATGCAATGGCGTGAAGTCACCTCTCTAGAAAATCCTAGAAAAGTCACCTAGATAATCATATAAACATGCAATGGCGTGAAGTCACCCTCCTAGATAATCATATAAACGTGCAATGGCGTGAAGTCACCTTGCTAGATAATCATATAAACGTGCAATGGCGTGAAGTCACCCTCCTAGATAATCATATAAACATGCAATGGCGTGAAGTCACCCTCCTAGATAATCATATAAACGTGCAATGGCGTGAAGTCACCTTGCTTCAATGATAATCATATAAATGTGCAATGGCGTGAAGTCACCCTCCTAGATAATCATATAAACATGCAATGGCGTGAAGTCACCCTCCTAGATAATCATATAAACGTGCAATGGCGTGAAGTCACCCTCCTAGATAATCATATAAACATGCAATGGCGTGAAGTCACCCTCCTAGATAATCATATAAACATGCAATGGCGTGAAGTCACCCTCCTAGATAATCATATAAACATGCAATGGCGTGAAGTCACCCTGCTAGATAATCATATAAACGTGCAATGGCGTGAAGTCACCCTCCTAGATAATCATATAAACATGCAATGGCGTGAAGTCACCCTCCTAGATAATCATATAAACATGCAATGGCGTGAAGTCACCCTCCTAGATAATCATATAAACATGCAATGGCGTGAAGTCACCTTGCTAGATAATCATATAAACATGCAATGGCGTGAAGTCACCCTCCTAGATAATCATATAAACATGCAATGGCGTGAAGTCACCCTCCTAGATAATCATATAAACATGCAATGGCGTGAAGTCACCTTGCTAGATAATCATATAAATGTGCAATGGCGTGAAGTCACCCTCCTAGATAATCATATAAACATGCAATGGCGTGAAGTCACCCTCCTAGATAATCATATAAACGTGCAATGGCGTGAAGTCACCTTGCTAGATAATCATATAAACATGCAATGGCGTGAAGTCACCCTCCTAGATAATCATATAAACATGCAATGGCGTGAAGTCACCTTGCTAGATAATCATATAAACGTGCAATGGCGTGAAGTCACCTTCCTAGATAATCATATAAACGTGCAATGGCGTGAAGTCACCCTCCTAGATAATCATATAAACATGCAATGGCGTGAAGTCACCCTCCTAGATAATCATATAAACATGCAATGGCGTGAAGTCACCCTCCTAGATAATCATATAAACATGCAATGGCGTGAAGTCACCCTCCTAGATAATCATATAAACGTGCAATGGCGTGAAGTCACCTTCCTAGATAATCATATAAACATGCAATGGCGTGAAGTCACCCTCCTAGATAATCATATAAACATGCAATGGCGTGAAGTCACCCTCCTAGATAATCATATAAACATGCAATGGCGTGAAGTCACCCTCCTAGATAATCATATAAACATGCAATGGCGTGAAGTCACCCTCCTAGATAATTATATAATGATGCACTGGCGTGAAGTCACCCTCCTAGATAATCATATAAACGTGCAATGGTGTGAATTCACCCTCCTAGATAATCATAGAAACATGCAATGGCGTGAAGTCACCCTCCTAGATAATCATATAAACATGCAATGGCGTGAAGTCACCCTCCTAGATAATCATATAAACATGCAATGGCGTGAAGTCACCCTCCTAGATAATCATATAAACGTGCAATGGCGTGAAGTCACCCTCCTAGATAATCATATAAACGTGCAATGGCGTGAAGTCACCCTCCTAGATAATCATATAAACATGCAATGGCGTGAAGTCACCCTCCTAGATAATCATATAAACATGCAATGGCGTGAAGTCACCTTGCTAGATAATCATATAAACGTGCAATGGCGTGAAGTCACCCTCCTAGATAATCATATAAATGTGCAATGGCGAGAAGTCACCCTCCTAGATAATCATATAAACATGCAATGGCGTGAAGTCACCCTAGATAATCATATAAACATGCTAGATAATCATATAAACATGCAATGGCGTGAAGTCACCCTCCTAGATAATCATATAAATATGCAATGGCGTGAAGTCACCCTGCAAGATAAAAAAAAAACGTTAAATCTTCATATAAACATGCAATGGCGTGAAGTCACCTTGCTAGATAATCATATACCAACTTAACACAGGATATATTATGACTTAGGCAACTAGTTATGGGGAAAAAAAATCTCGGGTTTGTTATTCATAATTAGATATAACCGATAAATTTAATTTTTTCAAAGGTGACTTCACGACATTGCGAATAGCGAGATCCACGACCTTAATCAATAAGACATTCAGTATAATAAAATAAATGGTGCCTGTTTTGGAGGGTAACATTTGAAATTGACACCCCTCGGAAAACCATTGTCAACCTCCGCTGACGCGTCGGTTGACATTGGTTTTCCTTGGGGTGTCAATTTCAAATGTTACCCTCCAAAACAGGCACCATTTATATACATGTAATGAAATATCTTAAGAATGACTACTGTTTATGCAAGTAAAATGAATAACTTTCATTGCACAGATTTTGATCCCCCCCTTTTTTTTAAATCTATGCAAAAAATATTCCTGTAAGCATATTCGCACCAATCCTTAGCAATTAAGTTGAGCTCCTCTCTCGAGCTCCCTTTCAAATATATCCACTTCGAATTCTCTAAAGAAGACAAGAAAATAAAAGTTTGGTTCTATGTGACATAAATGAAATGATCCTAATTCATTTCATACAGTGTACATCATATACATTTCTGTATGGATACACATGTATGCCATTGGAAGAATGTATCAAAGACTTATCTGCACTTTACTGTATGTAGCTAGATAATTGGATGCAGTACTTTTCGACACGGTTTCTTGAAATTGTAACAAAAAGCCAGGTTTAATGGATATTTATTCTGCATACATGTCAAATGAATGTTTTCAGGTGTTAACATTGTAAAAAAAAATTTAAAAAGTTGTGCAAAAATATTTGAAAATTATTGCATAATTCAGCAGAAAATTGTTCATGCATATGTCTTTGAACCATTTTCATGCTATTTTATGATGTACAGATTGGTCTTAATGGTGATTTTTGCTTTTCCTTTCAACACGTCAGTAACAGTACACACTTGCGTCCTCGTCGTGTCCACAGTTGTGCTGTCCAAATGGAAGCTTTGAACATTCCATTAGTGAGGACTCAGTTCCGGTACATTGAACGTCATCAAGCCATATTTGTCCAGTTCCTTTGCCGTATAAGCCTGTCCAGTGTGCTATTCCACCACTGAAATAAAAAATACACAAGAAACATATTTTGACGCAAGCGTCAAAAATCGGCCGCAAACCAATTTATTGTTCCATTGATAAAGTAATTAAAAAATGAAATTTGCGTGACCTGTCTTTCAAATTTCTTATATTTATCTATTAAAATATCCTCGTGACATGAAACACTTGCATGCGGCATTGCCGATTTTCTTCATGCATAATGCATGTACAATATTATATGTATAAGCAAACGGTCCATAGACCTCGGTACTTAAATTGTAAACGAACCGCTCTGGTGGAAGTTTAATATTTAAGTTGTTTTTACATAAAAGTACAGAACTAAAATTTAAACTAAGCTATAGTTTTACTTTAATGAAAACGCAACAAATATGAAATATGTGGGGCTCCTCGCTCTTTCTTAGAGGATATTAACTTCCCCCAACTCCCTCTAGATCCACCACTACATTTCTTCTCTTTCATTGTTTTGTGGCAGGAAAATGCATGGCACATTGTAAAACGCGCTTTATCCTAGTCTCTTGGACCAAAATGTTGCAAGATTCTGTGCTTTTAAGAAATAAATATTTCATCAAATTTTTGAAAAATTTCCATAGAAAATGTATAAATATACACGTCATTTCAAAATAAATACAATAAATCCCGTATAGGCTGTTTAAAAAGAGAAAGTAAAATTGTTGATTTACAACGCGGTCTTTGTTTTAGTCTATGCCTACATATAACTTCGCCGCACTTCATTCATGTCGGAGTATGTCAATCAGGATTGGATGAAACACTTACCCCCTTTATTTATATGATTTTAATTTTATGATTATTGTGCTTTTTGTTAAACATTTAAAAATATCTTTGTTTAATATTCTATAATATGAACGTTAAATATTTTTGTTTAAATTGTTCTAACTCCGCAGAAACGCACGTCGACTTCAAACTTTCATATAAAGTAACCGACCGCCTCCTGGCGGCCGGTAATAATGTACTTTTAGCATCAAAATTATAAAGCCTGTTTTACAAAAGATCTTAAAACAAAGACAAAAGACTTGAGCTTAAGGATGACCTGTACTCAGGTTTCAGAGGACAAAAAAGGAAAATACAAATATAAAATCAGATACAGAATAGTTAACCTGATATTGTGCATTATTTAAAAATGATCTATCGCAAACTTACGTGATGCTTTTATATTCTATAATTAGTAAATTTTCCTGAATAAAGATTATAGTGTCATCAGATGCCCAAAGAAAAAAAATCAGCATGCTTTACAAGAGTTTGTTGAAAGATATCAGTTGATGAAAATTCTTGGATGATTCAAAGAAATATATATATAAATACTAAACAAATATTCTAGATGTTCATTTTTATCAAAAATTGTTTTAGAAGTGTAAAACACCATACATACACATTAAAATATAGCAGACAATTTCCTTAGAGAATCGGAACTCTTCAACTCGATGGAAAAAGACAAGAAAAAGTTCAAACTACGTTGCGTATATCCTTAAAGGAGATGTATTATTTGATTTTTACTAATTTAAAAATTAGCTAAATTATTGAAATCAATAAATTTGACCTTTGAGCTCTAAATACGACCTTGACGTTTATTGTACAAAAAGAATGGAAACTCCTCATAATTTTTCTTTCCAAATATCAGCTCTCTACCATAATGGTAACTAAAGTTACTTTTTTCAAGCCTAAGAAAAATTGACTAAATCTTCAAAAGAAGAAAGTTTTGTTTAAGAACTTAAAATTTGGCTCAAAAGTTGAAATTTACCGGTTGTAGCCTTTCATTTTACAGGTGACATTGGCGTCGTCATCATCCCAGTAATCATCACAAATTGTTCCCCACACACCATCGTAATTCACCTCGACTCGTCCGTAATGGGAACCACCATTTACAAATCGGACAGAAACTGTAAAATACAAGATGTGTTTATGAAACACTTTGCGCAAGGCGGCAACAAAGTTCGGAAAAAAAACTATTTTTAGCATAAAGGTCACAGTGAAGGTGACAAGGACATTGACCTTGGTGTCATTTGATCATTGGAGTATGCATACCTAATACGAAGTCTCTATCTCTTATGATTCAAAAGTATTGGTGAAGGTTCAAAAAGCTATTTTTAGCATATAGGTCACAGTGAAGGCAACAGTCTTTGACCTTGCAAATTGGTGCCATTTGAAAAAGCTTAATTAGTGGAGTTTGCATACCAAATATATGCAGTCTCTATCTCCTATGGTTCAAAAGTAATGGCGCAAGTTCAAAAAAGCTATTTTTAGCATATAGGTCACAGTCAAGGTCACAAGGTCATTCACATTGGTGTCATTTGAAAGAGCTTAATTAGTGGCGTATACGTACCATATATGAAGTCTCTATTTTTCATGATTCAAAGTTATAACGAAGGCTAAAGTTGACAACAGACAGACAAACAGACAGGAAAAAAATTTAAAACAATATGCGCCCCGGATCTTTCGATTCGGGCGAATAAAAAGTATACAAAATTATTAGTAATAAACCTATAGGTGTACTGAAGTATATGAATTTTAAACAGTTGAATCTTTCTAATACATACTAAATGAATCAAGTCCTGTAGAGAGTTGTTTAATTGAACGGATGTTGTCATTTTGCTGGAGCTCAAGGGTGTTGGTATCATTCCTCAAGCGCTCAAAAGCTTCAAGAAGTTGAGTTTTCTGTATTTCTAAAACACTCTCAATGTATTTTCGATGACTATCAAAATCCTTCTTCATTTCCTTTTCAAACAAAAGCAATTGAGATTCCACTGTATTCTTGATTTTTTCTAATTCCTGTCCATTGCTATTCATTTCTTCACAAGACTCATTAAAAATAGCCTGTGCCTTACAAAGGGAAGATAAAGAAATAGAAATGCAAAGACCGAGTGCCAATATTATCGACATTACACTGATATACTGTTCACTAATTTAAAAAGTACCGAATGGATCAAGAACAGATTTACTTAATACACAGTTTTATGTCTTTCAGCTAGGTAACTTAATAAAGAAGCACTTATCATATTTCAATATTTATTTAATACCTTCATTTGTAAAAAATTGAAGAAAAAAAGTATGGTATCCCGATGTAATCCACTTCACAATTAAGTGATCCATAGTAAATGGAGCGTGGTCGCATGATGCCATAATGATATAACAAAGATATGGCAATTATAAGAGATAGGGATTAAAATTTTGATGACGTATCACCAGGTACAATGTCATTTGTATAGTACAATACATCAGTTTTTTTCAAACTGGCAGGCATTATGGCACTTTTTCTTCGATGGATATCTACAATTTCTAAAACGAGGTAAATTATTGGCAAACAAGATGATGAAACAAGAATATGAGCAGTCTCGCTTAAAGTCATTTCGTAAATGGTCGATACAATGACCTTGTCAGCACATACAAGTTATCATTGAGTCAAATGCAGACTAATGTTTTTCATACTAATTGTTAGGCTATTATTTAAACACTGAATTGTCGACGGATTTCTTTTTCGTTATTGACGATCATGACAAAGGGCATACGGCGGTCGGCAGGGGATGCTCATTCCTCCATGGCACCTGATCCCATCTCTGATGTTTTGGAGGTCCGTGTTTGATCTGCTCCTATTGTGTATTGTTTTATGGACTTTTGAGCTTGATTACTGTTAATTATCTCCATATATTTCATGGTGTTTTTTGCGTCTCTTTGAGAATTTTACACGCATATAAATATACGCTTATCTTTTGATTTTCTGAATGCAAGTCAGATCGTGCCCTCTGCAAGTCATGTTTTCATATTAAAATTTTCGGAAAATAATAAAGAAAGATACATGTAATTTAATTAATAAGTGTTTCCAAATAGCAGGTTAATATAATGGTTTAACCACAAGAATGCTGTGGTTATACCGTACTGATGTTCGCATACATGTATGTTTCCACGACATTTTCCGCAAACTATATCAGATCTATGATAACTGCCATCGTTAATATAACCTTTCCCTGGCATGGGCAATATTCGTCATATACTAAAACCATTGAAGAAAAGCTAATGTTGCTTATCTAAATGGATATTCTAGGTTCGGAAACAATATATTCTATGAGGTTCAGGTCTTTGGTCATTACTTTTTAACAAAACTGGATCAATTAAGGTCTATGCTCTAAAAAGTTCAATGCGCTATTTGGATTCCATAAAAGGTTATTTTTAAAACCCTTTAGAGTGTGGATAACGTATTGGCTTCTTTATATATGTATGTACAATCTAATTTAGAATAAAAAATTTCCTTGTTTATTTCATCTAAAATTTTAAAATCTGCGTTTTTATTGCAGTAACATTGAAAACATACATGTATTTGTGTCCTGCTAAGTAAAACAGTTATAAACATGTCTTTGTCTGTCTACAAAGTAGTTGAATAAAAGTCTCTACTCATGGGGAAAAAACCTAGTTTCAGATTTATAAACTAACTTTTAAAATATAAAAAAAAACAATTAAAAAATTATTTTACAGACAAGAGACAAATTTTGATTAGAAAAGCTCACTTGAGCTTTCGGCTCAGGTGAACTAAAAAGCAGTTACTTGAGATAATTAGAGGCAAACATAAAAATCTTATGGGGAAACATGTAGGCCTACTTCAAATTTCTCAAAAGAGACAGATAGTATAGTTTGGTTCGGATAAGATGAAGATCTACCTGTTCATTATACCCCCGCTTGAAAAGTGGGAGGGTATATAGTAATCAGTATTTCCGTCCGTCCGTCCGTCCGTCTGTTACGCTTTGGGGTACCCATCTCTTATCCGTAACTCCTCTCATACTACTGAAGGAAATTTAATGAAACTTTCACAGATTCTTGATTACATATTGCCATTGTGCACCTCCTATTTTACTTTTTGATCTGACATATATTTTTATTTTCCAGAGCAAAACATGGACACTGCCATTATATTCATATGGGAGGCGGGGGTATCATTTAGTGAGCTCATTGCTCACAGTACCTCTAGTTTACATAAGTGTATAGCTGAATTCATGTGAAAGCATCCTGGACTTGATTTTCAAGCACATGCTCGACTTCCGTGCGTGCCTTGCCAAATGGCTATGCATTTTTGGTACTTAAATCTTACTGTAAAGGAAACATAGCAAATTGTAATACTAGCTGTTATGTAAATTTGCATATAGAAACTAATACATATACTTATGCTGCTGTGCATAAATTTATTGATGAATCCTGTAGATTTTATTTTGTTATACCGGGGTATTACTGAACAAATATTTCACTTGTATCACTTTTTTGAATTTATATTTCTATGTACTACATGCATTTTAATTGCATGACATATAGAGTATAAATATGTTCAAAATAAAAAAAACTTTTCTGCAACCAATACCAGTCTATGAGCTATCTAAGGAGCTCGGAGTGCGTGGACAATGGAATAAACCACACAAATGCTGGGGAGGTGTTGCAGGAGGGAAGTCCGACACAATTACAAAGCGCGAGCTCAGCTCATTCCGGAGCTTATTCTTGGTTAATTCCCTCCAGTCATGTTCATTATAACTTATTCGACATGTAAGTTATCCCTTTTATCAGGACAAGATGTGTTTAAACACTGACGTCCCAGTATGGCAGCTTATGGCGAATGTTGCAGTTTCTCAAATGCAAGTCAAACCCTAAGGTCAAGGTCAAAATTTTTGGTATCAAGAGAAAGGTCTTTTTACAAGGAATACACCTGTGAAAAATATGAAAGCCGTAGTTCTAAATGTTAAAATGTTTTGCCCAATGTTATCTTTTTTACAAAATGAGTCAAACTCTAAAGTCAAGGACAAAAGGTCAAAAATATTCAAACCAATTGAAAGGACCTGCCACAGTGAATACCGTACCGTGACATGTTGATTAAGTGTGAAGCCCTATTACCAACTGTTTAAAAGTAATGGCTTAAGTTGAAGTATGGCATTTTTCGTAAACGTGGGTCATATTGACTCCAAGGTCAAGTTGGGTGGTGCCCAAAGAAAGGTCTTGTCAGAAGGAATACTCCCAAGACATACGAAAGCCAATTAAAGGCCCACCCGGTTAAAATTTATGGACAATGTTAAAGTTTTTGCGGACAAACAGACAGACGGACGGACAGGACAGGACAAAAACTATATACCCCCGAATCTTCGATTGGGGGGGGGGGGGGGGCAAAAAATCCGAAGTTGTTTCTACTTTCGTTTTGATATTTTCCAAATTTATGTTTTAAGAAATCACATTAAATTAAGGTTGTCATGCTACTCAAGTAAAAAAAAAGATAATTACATGTATATGATGATGAGAAATGCAAAAAACATTTGAATGTTTCATAAGACACATGGAGATTGTACAGATAAATTCATGTTTTTTTCTAGGTGGCAGAGACCCTGGTCACCACAACCTGGAAAACACCCAATCTAAAAATACCTAGTACTTGTATTTAGCATGATGTAAACATTCGTACTTGAGAAGATGAATGCTAGTAGTTCCAGGTATACTTGGGCAAAAGGAGAAAATTGATATTCGTACTATATTTCTTGAAACCTTGACTTTAAAAATATCATTCTGCATGCATGTTGTAGATTCCACCAATCCTAAACGAACTGGCTTTCGGTTTCGATTCGTTAATCATTTGTAAAGGTAAGTCTGAATCATATAAATTTGAGTTCCTGAAATTGTAATCAACTACCTTTCACTCCCTAATTCTAGACACATTCTGTAGCCAATATGTATATTTTATCCACCTCCCAACCATTTATAGTTGTCTCGACAGGCAATAAATTCGCTTGAAGTGAATTTTCAGCAATCTAACAAATAATTTTAATCAAGAGAGTTTATCACTCGTAGAGACGAGTATAAAGGGTTGGGAGATGGATAAAATATACAGATTATTTATATAATGTACCTAGATTTAGGGAATGAAATTAAGCTAGTTGGTTGACCAATGCTAGAAGTGGAGAAATTTTCCCCAAAAGTATGCAAAAAATACTGCGCCGTAAACCACCTTTTTTGCATTACGCGATTTACGGGATCTGTGCATATAGCGTTATAAATGGTCAAACACAAATATATAAAACCGTAACGCTACAGCTTTTTCCGGTGTACGGTGTCGCCATATTCCTGGGTATAGTTATATTTGAGAGAGTGAAGTTGCCAATCTTTTTCCAGTCTGTTATCAACAAATGATCAAATTGATGTACAGTTCGGATATACTGCTTCTAACATCTCTGTTACATCTATGTTTCACTAAATTATTGCTGTTTCCTCTGTGTTTCACTCAGAACAGAATAATTTATTATCAAGATGTATTTATGCTCATCTTATTATGTTCCCCAAACGAAGTTGGGGAACATATTGTTTTTACTCTGTTTCTTATTATTATTATTATTATTATTTTTCTTCTTCTTCCTGGGTACTTTTTTGTCCGGGAATGATCTTGTAAATTGTTCGTCCGATGTAGGTAAAACCTTTTTAGGGTAAGTACACATGTTATGTAGATTTGCGGAATCAAGGTCATTTTGCGCGCACGTGCTTGCAAGAGCGCGCACGTGCAACACGTGAAATGACCAATATAATAGATATAGCCGCAACTTTTCTATTTTTTGATGAAATACGTTGAAACTCATAATGTGAGGATATATTAGTAGCATAGACATGATGACATGGTCAAAATAGCAAGATCTCATGCGCATGCACGTGCGCCTCGCTCTGATTGGCTGAAACTAAAGTATCAATATCTTTCTTGTTTTTTGACAAAATCCTTTGAAATTTTGAACTTTGCCATGCATTAGGATATTCTACAACATGATATATAGCAATTTTCACGAAAACACGTGCATGCACGTGCGCTGCAATCTGATTGGCTCAAACTTTACATAGCTGTAACTCCCTTAGTTTTCAACCAAACAAGATGGGATTTGGAACATAGATAGATATAATGAACTTCTACAAAAAGGTATGGTCAATATGCACATGCATACACGTGCGTGTACTTGGGCTGCAATCTGATTGGCTGAAACTTAAAATAGCTATAACTTCCTTGGTTTTCAACCAAACGGGGTGGGATTTAGAACAAGGATAGATGTAATGGACTTTTACAATAAGGTATGGTAACCATGCTCATGTACGCACGTGCGTGCACGTAAAAGGAGTAAATTCAAAAATACACATGGATGAGCGTATTTTTTAATACTTTTGGTTTAAATACTTTAACATTTAGTATATATTGAAATATATAGATTGTGTAGACAAGACGTGGTCATTACGCACATGCATTCACATGAGCATGCGTGCAATGCTAGAATATGAATGAACTTGGTACACTTCTTGGTAAACGTTGTTAAAGTCTAAAATGCATAGAGTTTGTCTTATTTAATGAAGCTTACAGTGAATAAGGCATCAAAAGGGAGTTGGGGAGCGTTTGGGGAACATCTGTAACGGTCCCCGTTACAATTAGCACTAGTTAGTCCATGTATCTGGTTAATTAGCTCTGTTGATTTGCGTTTGTATACGCTTATCAAAGGTGAGATTGCTATCAATTGTTACTCCTATATCTTTTCCATTATCCACATTCTCTAATGATGTATCACCTCCTTCATAACATCTCATACTATACTGAATCTTGTCACAAGTTTTGCTACTGTTGTGTATTTGAAGAACTTGGCATTTGTCAGGGTGACATTTTAGAATCTAAAAGCCAAGTTTTGCTCAACATAAAAAGTATGTCCAGATCAGATTATACTACTTTAACATCGTTTTCATCTGTGCTTTATTTGAATATTTTGGTGTCTTCAGCAAATGGTAATACATCTAAATCTACATATTTAGGAAGGTCGTTGATAAAAATCATGAACAATATAAGTTCGAGCACAGATCCTTGTGGAATGCCACTTGTGACTTTGTACCATTTCGATTTATAACAAGTGGAGGCAGCACCCTTTTTATTTGAAATTTTCAAAAAAATGCAGCTTTAAGTCTGGAAAAGGTGGAGGAAACTCACATCATTATCAATCATTTCCCACTTTCCTTTCAGATGTCAGCTTCCGGATATCCGCTTTACGTAGTGGCTATAGACTTTGGAACAACATATTCTGGATACGCCTTTGCCTTTCGTGGAACTTTCTTGAAAGACGGCGAAAAGGACATTAATGAAATACATGCTGTTCCCTGGAATGCTGGGGAATTAATGTCAGACAAAACACCCACCACTCTTCTACTCGATGCAGACAAAAATTTTGTCTGCTTTGGTTACGAAGCTGAAAACACGTATAGCAAATTGCCAGAAGAAGAAAAGAAAAAATATTTTTATTTTCGTCGATTTAAAATGATGCTGTATGATAAGGAAGGGCATCTGGTAAATTCAATTTTTTTTTCCAAATTTACATTTTATGAATGTATATCATATACAGGTTTAATCATGATTTTTTTAATTCCTAAATCAGAAAATTACCAGAAATTCCAAACTAAAAGATATGACAGACAAGGAGATGTTGGCCATAGATGTTTTTACACATTCCATAAAGTATCTGAGAGGTCACTTTTTGGATAATTTTGAAAGGCGGAATTTGAACACGGCTATTTCTGAAGAGAGGGATATAACTTGGGTCATAACTGTCCCTGCTATTTGGGACGAACCTGCAAAACAGTTCATGGAAGAAGCAGCAGTGAAGGTAATTTTAGTGGTTTAAATTCGTATCCATGGAACTTTAATTTGAAAGTTTGAAATAATCACAGAATTATACCCAAGTCAACAACAACAAAACTTTATATACAACCATTCCCCGCGATAAATTAAAGTCCAGGCTTTTCGATATCATAGACATCTGTTTTGTCAATATACATGTAAATGGAATCGTTAATAAAGTTAACTTGTCATTGGTCATTTGCAAATTTATTTTGTTAAAAACAAACAAGTACTCTGAAGTTGATATTACAAAGATGCTTGAGTTTCTGATTGACAATACCAATGTGATTTATGAAGACCATGTTTTCCAACAATCTATTGGAGTTCCCATTGGTACCAACTGTGCCTCATCATAAGCAAACATATTTTTGTATTCATATGAAGCCGAATTTGTGCAATCTCTTCTGTGCAAAAAGAAAAAAAAAACAGTTGCTGTGGCCTTCACTTCGACATTTTATAAATCTAAATACTTCGACGACGTATTGTCAAATAAACAATAGTTAGTACCATTTTTATGTTGATACAATATACATGTATATCGGTGAACTTAAAATAAAAGGTACCACAGAATCTGGCATATTTGTTACATATTTGGATATTTCACTAGAAAAAGACGTTAATAGTAATCCAACAATCAAGCTTTATGATAAACGTGACGAGTTTAACTTTTCAATTGACAACTTCCCTTATCTATGCAGCAATATACCTTTAACACCTGCATACGGGATTTATATCTCTCAGCTGATTCGATTTGCAAGAGCCTGCTCTACATGTATGTATGAACAATTTCTAAAACGATGTGTGTTACTGACAAACAAGTTGAAAACAAGAATAATTCAGCGGTTTGTTGAAACTCATCATTTTGTAATTTCTATGATCGATACAATGACCTTGTTAGCAAATGCAGTCTATCATTAAGCGAAATGCTGACTGATGTTTATCATAATTGTAAGGCCATTATTTACACACTGAATTGTCGACGGCTTTTACATTTATTTATTCATATCCCGATCACGACAAAGAGCACACGGCGGGTTTGGCCGATAGGCAAGGAATGCTCACTCCTCCATGGCATCTGATCCCATGCACCTCAATTTTTTTAGAGGTCGGTGTTTACCTTGCATCAAAATTTGTATTATTTTATGAACTTTTGAGCTGATATCCGTTCGTTAACTGCATATATCTCATAACGAACATCTTATACCGTTTTTTTTTTAATTGATTATGTATAACTGAAAATTTAATTTGTTCATTTTATTTTAGGCTGGCATTTCAAAAGCTAATCTACTGATCTGCTTAGAACCAGAGGCTGCAGCTATTTACTGCAAATGTTTACCCATAGAAAAAGCCGGAGATTGTCTGAGTGCGATGCAGCCTGGCCGACGGTTTATCGTTTTAGACGCTGGAGGTATGGTATACATCCGAATGAATAGCGGGTACTTTTATTTTTCAGCTGTTAAACATCCTTGTTCAACTATCTTTTATTAGGACAATTGTATCATAATTTTATGGAAGACCTTTATGGAGTACTTTAAATATTTAAGGTGGAACTATTGACATGGCGATACAGGAAGTGACAGACGATGGAAAACTACAAGAAATTGACCGCGCCCAGGGCGGTGACTGGGGCGGGATTTATGTAGACGCCCAGTTCAAAGAAATGCTGGAGAAGATTGTTTCTAAGCCAGCCTTTGATGCTTTCCGTTTGCAGAATACTGGTGACTATTTAGATTTGTTTAGATTTTTTGAAAGAAAGAAAAGACAAAAGACATCGAGCAAAAAAGTGCACATGCACGTTCCACAGTCTTTTCTTAATATCTCGGATGAGGATATCGGAACTTTGACGAAGATAAAAGGCTTAGGAGAATCTGTGACATGGAAGCGTGATACAATTTTCATCAACCTTAAGAAATATGAAGAATTTTTCAATCATGTCATCGACAAAATTGTCCTTAAAGTTAGGGAAATGTTGCAATCGGAGACAGCGCTAGGAACCGACGTAATTCTAATGGTTGGAGGATTTTCTGAGTGCGACCTTCTACAAAGGAGGATAAAAGAATCATTCCCAGCCTGTAAAGTTGTGATTCCTCCAGAATGTGGTTTGGCCGTACTGAAAGGGGCAGTTATTTATGGTTTCGACCCGAAAATGATTTCCGCCAGAGTAGTCAAATACACTTATGGTGTTGGAATCAACAACCTCTTCATTGAAGGAACACATCCTCAATCAAAGAGAACAGTCATTAATGGAAAAGCTTATTGCAAGGACATGTTCGATATTCATGTACAAAAAGGAGACACGGTGCATATCGATGAAACTACAGACAAAACCTATTACCCACTTTATGACGACCAAACGGCTGTCAATTTCAGAGTCTTCACGTGTACCCACAGGGATCCAATGTATACAGATGACGAGGGGTGTAAGGAAATCGGGTCTTTGACCGTTCCGATGCCAGACACTTGTGGAGGAACCAACAGGATGGTCAAGGCCAAATTCCACTTTGGAGGAACTAAGATTACCGTGGAAGGCATTGACCAAATGTCTAAAACATCAGTGGATGTTAAAATTGACTTTTTGGAGGGCTCGCCTTAAATGTAAACTTTTTGGGGGATCAATTATTTTATAGTCATATTTATATTATATTATATATTCATACAAAGTAAACATTGATTTAATCATTTTATTGATTTTTTTTTTTTTTTTTTTTTTTTTTTTTACAAATTACACTTTGTTCTAAATGATTGATTGATGAAATAAGGGTCATAAGAGTGAAAAATCTTCAATGTGAAGAAAATAAAACAAACAAAAATGTCTCACAAATATTGAAACTTTTTTTTAATTAAAAAAAACCCCCAAAAATAGCCATCTTCATCACAAATTTAAAAGATATAAGATCATATACTTTTAAGAAACAAGTCCCTACGCCTGAAAAATTTTGTAGAATGTAAATACCAAGGATCAAAGAAGTCTGATTTTAATAACATGTACTATCTAAGATTAGATTGATACAATTACATTGTACTAAAAAAGTACACAAAGTTTAAAAACAAGAGGCCCATGGGCCTTATAGGTCACCTGAGCATCATGCAACAACTTTCAAATGATTGAATTTGGTTCATGTTTTAAGCTAGATGCTATTGCATTCACAATTTTGAAAGAGGCACCATTGCTAATCATAACTTTACACTTAGCAATTGTTTAGTTTGTTTACTTAATACCCATAAGCAGGGTAGGGGAACAAAAATGTATGTCAACTAATCAGTAATATTGAGCGATAATCAGGAGTGCTCCTACCACACATGAACCCCTGACCCTAGGTCTACACATTGCACAATTTTTGAAAAGGCACACTTGCTTATCAAAAATGTTTGTTTGATTAATACCAAGGAGCAGATTTCAAACAATTCATTTTCAGTATATAAGTAGAGCCCCCCCCCCCCATTTTGGTATCCCTGACCCAGGGGCCTTGAAATTCACAATTCTGGAAGAAGAGCCCATCATAAATATGTAAATAGTTCATCTGCTTATTACCCAGAAGTAGAGAAAAAAGATCTTCATAGATGTAATGTTTTTTCGCTATATAATCAATAGAGCCCCGCCCTAACACCATAACCCCTGACCCTGGGGCCATAAAATTCACAATTTATGTAGAAACATTCTTGCTCATCATAACTATGTCCTTAATTGGTTTATTTAATACTCAGAAACAGAGAAGAAGATTTTCAAAGATTTAAAGCATTTTCACTATATAATCAATAGAGCCCCGCCCTAACACCATAACCCCTGACCCTGGGGCCATAAAATTCACAATTTATGTAGAAACATTCTTGCTCATCATAACTATGTCCTTAATTGGTTTATTTAATTCTCAGAAACAGAGAAGAAGATTTTCAAAGATTTAAAGCATTTTCACAATATAATCAATAGAGCCCCACCCTAACACCATAACCCCTGACCCTGGGGCCATAAAATTCACAATTCATGTAGAGACACTCTTGCTCATCATAACTATGTACTTAATTAGTTTATTTAATACCTAGGAGCAGAGAAGAAGATTTTCAAAGATTTAATGCATTTTTCACTATATAATCAATAAAGCCCCGCCCTAACACCATAACCCCTGACCCTTGGGCCATAAATTTCACAATTTTGGTAGAAACATTCTTGCTCATCATAACTATGTCCTTAATTAGTTTATTTGATACTCAGAAACAGAGAAGAAGATTTTCAAAGATTTAAAGCATTTTCACTATATAATCAATAGAGCCCCGCCCTAACACCATAACCCCTGACCCTGGGGCCATGAATTTCACAATTTTGGTAGAGGATTCAATACTGATTACAATCATACCAACACTTTGGCTGCTTGATGTCCGGGAGTAAAGAAGAAGATTTTTAAGATTGCACTAATTTTTGTGGTTTTTGCCCCACTACCAGGCCCCAGGAGGGCAGGGACCACCCATAGATGCTTTATGCCAAAATTGGTTGAAATTGGTTCAGCAGTTTCAGAGAAGAAGCTGAAAATGTTTAAATGTTAACACATGACAAACAACAGACGACGACGGAGGAAAACAGATGGCAATAGGTCACCAGAGTTTACTCAGGTGACCTAAAAATACTTATTTATAGGGCTGGGCAATAATACCGATATTTCAATATATTGCGATACAATGATAAAAGATATCGTATTGCAATACAATTTTGTAATATCGATATATTGGCAATATGCTTTGATTAAGGAATTTTGTCATTAAATATGAAAATAAATGTATAAAAGTTTGATATTAAGCCAAACAGTAAGACAGAAGTTGTTTTGTGGGAACATTTCAGAGCATAACTTAAATGAAATCAACAAGATTTTTTTTTCTGTGTTGGTTATTTATCATAGTTATGTACAGTCTGCATGTTAATCAAAGTAAATATAGTAAGAAAATGCCATTTAAATTACAATGAAAATATTGAAATACAATATATTGCAATACAGTTAAAAATATCGCAATATATCGCAATACGAAATCTCGGGCCAATACCCAGCCCTACTTATTTAGATATATGCTTGTGTGTAAAACCTTCAATAGGACAAGAAACAAGAGGCCCAGGGGCCACAGCGCTCACCTGAGCACATCGACTTGGAAAAAGCACACATCAGATCAGAACTGAAAGTTTACTGAGGTTGGGAGGGGGGGGGCTTGAATTTTAACCCCCCCCCCAAGGGGATCATGATTTGAATGAACTAGAATCTACACTACCATTATGATTCCATATAAATATTACTAATCATGGCTTTGAAGTACTTGAAAAGAAGATTTTAAAAAGGTTTCCCTATATATTCCTATGTAAAACTTCGGTCTGCCATTTTAGCCCCACCCGATCCCCTGGGGTCATGATTTGAACAAACTTGAATGTACACTACCTGAGGATGATTCCACATGAGTTTCATCTTTCCTGGCCTAGTGGTTCTTGAGAAGAAGATTTTAAAGATTTTTCCTATATATTCCTATGTAAAACTTTGATCGGCCATTTTGGCCCCACCCTACCTCCGGGGGTCATGATTTGAATAAACTTGAATCTACACTACCTGAGGATGATTCCACATGAGTTTCAACTTTCCTGGCCCAGTTGTTCTTCAGAGGAAGATTTTTAAAGATTTTTCCTATATATTCCTATGTAAAACTTTGGTCGGCCATTTTGACCCCACCCTACCCCCGGGGGTCATGATTTGAACAAACTTGAATCTACACTACCTGAAGATACTTCCATATAAATATGACCATTCATGGCTTTGTTGTTCTTGAGAAGAAGATTAATATTTTTAATGACTTTATCTATACATTTCTATGTAAAACTTTGGTTGGCCATTGTTGCCCCGGCCTACCCCCAGGGGTCATGATTTGAACAAACTTGAATCTACACTACCTGAGGATGATTCCACATAAGTTTCATCTTTCATGGCCCAGTGGTTCTTGAGAGGAATATTTTTTTTAAAATGGCATTAATTTTTCACTAATTCGTAATTATCTCCCCTTTGAAGAGGGATTGGCCCTTCATTTGAACAAACTTGAATCCCCTTCATCCAAGGATACTTTGTGGCAAGTTTGATTGAAATTGGCCCAGTGGTTCTTAAAAAGAAGATGAAAATGTGAAAAGTTTAAGACAACGACAACAACGACAGACGACGGACGACGGAAAAATTTTGATCAGAATAGCTCACTTGAGCCTTTCGGCTCAGGTGAGCTAAAAACCCTTACATTGCAACAATGTACCAACAAAAGAAAAACAGGGAAGATAAAAGTCCTGGAGATACTAACAGATTCATATATGGAGCATATATGAAAAAATAAATCATTAATAAAAAAAGAATAATTATAACAGTCTTTATATAATGAGATCATGGCTTCCTCCTTCTACGTATTCTAGGATATTCATAATCCATGTTTTTCATGAATTCTTTAACAGAGTCCAATGATATAGGAGGCAGATAATTTCCTATGTGTCTCCTCTTCCACCAGCGGCCCAGCTTTGCATCCTTGCTTCCGATTTTTGTAAAGACATATCGATAATGTTCTACTCTTATGTATCTGAAAAGTTGAATAATTTTCATGCAACAGTATATGAAGAATTTATCAACTCAGAAAAGTAATCAGAATGTCAGAGCTTCTATATTTAGGAAAAACCCAGAAGAGCTACAGTCTTATCACAGACTTTTGGTTTTTAAAAGCGTTGGACATATATAACATTAACTAGTATTATTGAAAAAATTTTCTTGCTTAAGAGTACCAAATTCCAATCTTCCTGAAAATACTTTAACATGTATTTGAACCCCACAACATAAACCTATACTGTAGATTCCTAGTTATACGCGAGGAATTAATTTACGGGTAATTTCGCGAGAAGCATCACTCGCGAAAAAATATTACCATACTCGCTTTTATTTTTATGGTGCTGAAATCTACGTAAATTCTGTTGATCAACTGTCCATTCGCAAATTATAATTCTCGCGATTTGATGTCAAAGACCCAGTTCGCGATAAAAAGTACTCACGAAAAATAAGGAATCTACAGTAACACATTGACACTTATTCTTTAAATGGAATGCATCCATTTATATATATGGAGTGTGCATAAACAAAGAAATTTGAAGTCTTTTTAACTGAACTTAATTCAACATCTAATTTAAAGGTCATTTCGCAAGGAAAATATTATGTAAGATATTTATTATTCTAATGATCACTGACAAATCTATACTGCGTTAGACAAGCCTATACTCACTTTGGTGGATCTCTTTCATGGAATGGATTGTAAGCTATGAGAGACTCTGCTCCTGGATCATTTGACATCAGTTTAACAGCCAGATGAACCAGCCAGGGATTATACTGATAATTCTACAAACACACATAAAATACATGTAGCAGTCAATAAAGGATAAAAATTCAAAACCTTTCTTCTAAGATCTCTGAGAAAAGAACTTTATAGTATCTAAGTTGTTTTTTAAGTCTCAACAATCAAAGATTTGAAGGCATTTAGTCTTCGCCTTATACGTCTGTCTGTTTGTCCACAAAAACTTCACTTTTTGTCCATATCTTTTGCTTGGTTTGAGCTATGGC